TACGTAGATTTAATTCAACCCAGACCTCTGAGTCGTTGGGGCCTACCTCGGACTGAACATAATCGTACCTTCCTATGTGTTTTATCTTCTGCCGGTACTCGTCCCTCCATGCATGCATTTTGAACGCGCGGATCCCGGAAAAAACTTGATTCATTAAGGAGATTTGCCTATCGGAAATTATGGCTGTGCACAAGCGCAGCCCAGCATTAGCATAAGACAAGACGGCAAAGTATGGCATGAGAACGCACAGTAGAAACCCACCCGTAACAGCTTGCAACCAATCAAATAGTAGAAAAAAGATATTGCCCACTGCATAAGGAGGACTGCAAAAACAGCCGAGAAAAAAACTTGACTGTCTCTCCTTCCATTCTTCTAACATCAATGGATATCAGGTCGAATAAGCGTCCTTCAGTGAATTTCAGTAACTTCTGCTTGCTGAGAAGAAGCGTCTGAAAGAGAGTAAAGATTTTAAGAAGAAGTATGTTCCATAAACCATGACGCCGTAGATGATACACTTGACTGCGTTTCGAGACGAGGGTAACAGAACCTTTATTGACGTCTTTACTAAATTACCTTCAAATGGGTCAAAAATACAAGAGCCCATGCCAAGTTCCAGTTTGAATCTCGCTCAGTAACGCGGCCGTATACCCTATTGTTTCTGTAGCATACTTCTCCGTTAACTACTGAATAAATAAATGTTTGTTTGTTGATGAGGAGGGTCGCTTCAGTTCTATAGTTTTTTCGTAGAAGTAGCAGCCAGTGCACATGTTGACTGCGATCAATCAGGTTTCTGAAATTAAGTAATTTTAGATCAGATGGCTAAAGGTTTGCAGGTTTCTTTGACTTAATTTAGGATAATAGAAACATAAACTTACCCTACGACAAAAGCATAGAATACTCTGTGGATCGTGCCTACCTTGTGATACACTAGTCCCTTTATTGCGCTGACTACTGACTTTGACCCCAAACACTTCACATCTGTAGGCATCCTGATGCATACCAAGACCACCGATCAAACCATTGAGACACATAGCTAATGCGCAGGCGTAGAGCCGGTAAGTATTCTCTGCCTCAGCTGACATAGCTTAGAAACGAGATATCCCAGAAACAGTGGAAAGAGAAGGCCAGAAGTTGTACACAATATATTCCCCGTCAAAATGATGATAACATCTTTGACAGAAAGCATAGGAAACACGCTCCTCCAAAGTTTAGGCCTTTTCCCAATTATCTTGCAATGATATTTCTTGCTTTCCCAGTTTGTTCGAAGCTTCTCTGTGACAAAACGGCCAGAGTTCTCGTCTGACAAGGGTAAAAAGTCACTTTGATCCAAAGGTCTTTGACTGCCCTCCTTAAGGACTCCGTTCATCCAATGAAAAAAAAAAGAGAAGAAGCAAAACTGACTTCCTTATTGTCATCACCGGAGATTTTCCTGTAACCACCTTTTGATGTCATCGCTCTAGACCGAAAAAATATTTATTTAATGTTCTCATTCATTGCTAGGTTGTTTAACGCTGATCAAACGTCTGCGAAATTATTTTAGGATTTCAAAACTAAGTTGTCCTCTGAGAGTTATAAACACACAAAGAAACAAGTAAGTCGCAGTGTTTTGTAAAACCGTTTGACCTTTTCGATTTTTCCTAAAAGAAAATGGTAAATAATCAGGATATCTGCAATTAAATAAGCTTTGTGCTTGGAGAGCATCGAGTTCTCTCTACCTAACTTTTATCCATTTTTACAGATATCTTTGAAGGTTAAACTTCTTGGCATATTTTGCGTGACAGCGGTTGGTACCATTGTTTTTGTTAAAAATTTTGCGCGGGAAATTTGCACGCGGCTGGTCAAAATTGATCCCCTTACGCATGCTGGGTTAGCTTGTTGAGTTCTTGGGTCTATCTCTGTGAGGACCAAATAAAAGGTGAACAATATCTTGCATTTATACGAGGAAGCGGCATGGACCCTATTTTTCATTCAGATTGAACTTTCCACAATTTTTCGCCAGCACGCATTTCTACTTGTCTTCTCTGACCAAGAACTTTTCATAGAATATTGTCATGACATCAGGAAATGACGATAAGAGACCAAGAGAAACATAAAATGTATTTTCCCTCTTTGTGTCTCGAAAACTTCTATTTTATGGTTTGGGATGCCTGTGGATTGCTGCTTTAGATCCCTTCCCTAGTCCCTCTCAGAATTGTTACGCTGTGTTTCCTCAATGGCTTTTTATTAAGCGAGTTTGTTTGATATCGAGGAATAGCGACTAAATCTCAGAGCATAATAATGGGATCAAGACTGGTGGACATTGCGAAAATAAGTATGATTTACCTTCTATATCTCGCTGTAAAACTGTAGTTAACTGAGAGAGATCTGAAGTCGTGGTTTCAGCTTGGCTGTCATCGCAGACTGCAATGTCATTGTCAGCGTCTGATGGCTCTTGACGGGGTACTTTACTGACCCATGTGTCGAGATACTGGCAAGATTTAGCTGCAGCCTTCCTATTTCTATTTTTCTTTTCTCTCCTACCCATAAAGTATGACACAAAAAGCTAATTTTGCATCTTCGGGCGTTCATACGCTCGTAGAAATCGAGAATACTACCCGACGCGTTAGCAGACGTGTCTGACAAAAGTCGTGAGATCGCTCCCTTGTCATTGGCTCGCTCGTCTTAACTCCCGTGCAAAGCGCGCGCACGTTAATTTCATTATTCATTTAGATAAGCTCTGACATCTGTGCGCACATTAAAATGTTCTGAATGGCTCAGGCTACCAGAGTGCAGCTGGTTTTAGTTTCCCTGTGAATACATTGCTGCTTTTTTCATTCTTTGATTTTGTTTAAGTATCACAGTTAAGTTTTAAACTTCAGTTTAACCGACTGCACTCCTTAACTTGGATATTGAGTATCAAAATGTGGACCTTTGGGGCCTGGGGGGGGTGCGAACGCACCCCGTGCACCCCCCCAGGTTACAGGCCTGAGAAGTCACTAGAATTTATAAGGAGAATAACTCGTATTGTTTTCATTTGATCAGAACACATCAGGGATAAGTGTAAGTTAATGGTTGAGTAGATCTATTGTTTCTTTGACGACATTCGTGGTGACTTGCACATAGCCTGGAGCAACTCCGGAGTGGAAACCATCACAGGAATCTATTTATTTGGGAGCTGTCTAACAAAGTTTGATGTGAAGTCTCGGCAAAGTTTGCTGTCTACTGGTAAGCTTATCTGCATAATAATAATATTTTTAAGAGCGCACCCAAAATGTAAAACTAACGATCTTTAAGAACAGAAGTAAGTTGCTGTAGCCGTGCAATAAAGAGACATCAGTCAACGATTTGTTGGCGTGCCGTACAGAACTCCAGCCACCTGCTTCAAAACGACAAATCCTGTTTGGTAATATCTGTTTTCAACAAGGTGCTGAGGTAAATCTGAATGGGGTTTTCATTTCCTCTCGGCGAGCAGTTTGGGGATATCTAGTTGAGAAGTTTTGAGGTTCGATTCAGCGGACCTATGTTATGGAATGAAACTGATGAAAGACTTAAGATTCTAACGCCCTATTCATTTAAAAGAGAATTATCTGTGCATCTCATTAATCAAGCCAAACGCTTCCTCAAGATTACACAAGATTTTTCCTTCCTTCTCTCCAGGTCTGAGCTTATTGAGATTTAAATCTCCCATAATAATAAAGAACTGTCTCTGAAGGGATATCCAGGAAACGATTTCATATAATTCCCTTTCCAGAGTTTCATAATAGTTCTTCCCATTCCCTTTAGGAGATCTATAGATGCCCATAACGATAACATCTTTACTGCCAAATTTTGATTGGATTAGTAGAACCTCAATTTTCTTGAACACCTTTGGTTGCTTTAAACGTTTTGATGGAAGTACAGATGAAAAATATGCCATCAGACCTCCTCCACCCTCGACACAGTCATTTCTGTATAAATTATAGTTGTTCATAGCAAACTGACTATTTGGATACGTTCCATCTATCTTAGTCTCCCCCAAGAAGACCACCTGTGCCTTGAATTACTCAACCAGCATCCTGATCTCCTCGATTTTGTTTTGAAGGCTGTTGACATTTAAATGCATCACCAGAATTTCTCTAAAGTCTTTCTTTCTCTGTTGCACAACTACTGGTTCTGCATCTTTCCATGCTAGTGGACTTGCATTAGGGCTATGGCACATTGAGTCCGTAGTGTCAGTATCAATATTAACGTGAGGGTTACTACCTGTGAGCGAAATAGAGCTTGGATCCCATGGAAGTGCAGCAAAGAGGCAAATTGCACACATCCATGATCTATTCAAGCTGGATTCATACCAATGGTAGTCCTTCAGTGTTAGGCCGGCGCACTTGAAGTGATAAAGAAGTTGACACCTCTGGCATCTTACAGCTCTATGATTTCTAGCAACTGTTTCCTCGCATGTCTTACATTTCGGCCTAGCAATGGTTCTGGTACCAGTAACAGGGCCTGGATTTGGATAGACATCTCCACTCAGGGCTAACCTAGTTAACTGGAAACTGGCCACAGTTTTCGGGTGATGATTCAGCCTTGAACTCAAAGAGACTTTTCTCTTGCCTTTGTACCTAAGATGGCGGCTACGACTGCCACATGTTGAGAGATGATATTCGGTGCAGTTTGGTTCGCAAATGGCGGGGATTGACGTTCCAATAGCTCGCTCAATATTAAGATTGCATTTAAGGTCATAAGAAAACATAGACTGATAAGAAACGGCTGAAAACAGCAGAAAAGTTACGATACTCAAAAGCTTACGTCCGACGGCCATAACGACCGCTGACCGTAGTAAGCCTTTATCCATCCGATCTAGAATTACTTTTTTCCAGAAACTTTAACTAACAGTAATCAACTTATGCTATAGTGAGACCCACAAGGAGAGGATCATCGAACATGATTACTTGTTGTTGCAGTCTACGAGCAACTGTAGAACTCAAGTGATCCTACCCACCAACAAGCAAACAATTAACAAACAGTAACTTACTCTAAAATTAATGGAAAAGTATGCTCTAAAAAATATAAACCAGGGCTCGACACTAACTCTTCAACTCATTAGCCAAGTGGATAGTGGTATCTTAGA